TGAAATCATATTACAAAGTGATAAAAACTGCATGGTACTGGCACAAAAACAGATGTGTGGCTCAATGGAATAGAACAGAGGATGAGGAAACAACCACAAGCACATTCAACTATTTGATCTTTGACAAAAAGAGCTAAAAACATACACTGGAGGAAAGATGACTTCTTTAATAAATGTCTGGCTATCCAATGCAACCTAAGACCCATGTCTCTCACCACATCCTAAACTAAGCAAAAATGGATCAAAGAACCCGATGTTAAAATAGAAATATTTAATCTGTTGGAATATACAATATGTAAAACTCTTGAAATCATAGGCATAGGCAAGGACTTACTGAAGAGAACCTTGGTTGCACAGGAAGCAGTATTGGAGAATCAATAAATTCAATCATGTTGAATTAAATACTTCTGCACAGAAAAAGAAACAACTAACAGAGTGAAAAAGCAGTCTACAGAATGGGAAACATTTTTGTTGGCTATTCAGCAGACAGAGAACTAATATCTAGAGCATATAAAGAACTCAAAAAATTAGCTACCCAAAATTTTTAAAAAATCAATTATTAAATGGGCAACTGAAATGAATAGACACATCTCAGAAGAAGTACAAATATCCAAAAAATACATGAAGAAATGCTCAAGATCACTTGCCACTAGAGAAATGCACATTAAAACAGCACTGAAATTCCATTTTACCCCAGAAAGAGTGGCCACCATCATGAAATCAAATAATAAATGCTAGCAAGGCTGTGGGGGAAAAGGAAACTGATTAAAATTACCATTCCTCTCTCCAAAAAATATCACAAACATCAAAACTCTTTATTCCATTCATTATGAATTGTGATTTCCCTAAGCTTGTCCATGAACCCATGAAAACTACTCATTAAAATTTCTTACACTAAAACATTTAAAACATGATGGAAATAAGATTGGATTTTTGCTTTGAACATTCTGGTAGCACTGTGGAAAATGTATTTTTGGGAGGCAAGTTTCTGATATGGATATCTGTAAAGAAACCACACATAAATCTAGGCAAATCAAGGTGGGTGGTAATACAGCAATGTAATAATGCATAGTATACCAATAGTGTAAAGAAATGGTACAAGGAGTCTCTTTAGGAAGTATAATTAGTAAGACTGGGATGGATTAGCCATGTACAGTGAGAGATAAAGTGATAGATATGTGACTAAAATGATCACAGTGGATGAGATAATTCAGGGAGATCGTGAAGTGTTAGAAAGGGCAGGCTATGAAGAAAACTGAGGCCAAAAATAATATTTAAGAGTCTCTAAAGAAATAAAAGCCTTTAAAGACAACGGAGGAGAGCCATATTTACAGAATCAGTCAGATATGCAAGACAGAGAGAGGACACACAGAATAAACAGTGACAACCTCAGGAATGAGTGTTCATACAAGGTCAAATAAAAATAAGTTGGCACAAATGACAATTAGGAGGTCTGGCAGTCTTGGTGTAAGCAGTTTTCCCAGAAAATTTGGGGCAGAAACCAAATTAAACCGGTTGAGAAGGGCATGAAAACAGTGAAAGTAAAGGTATCATAATGATGAAGAATATTTGAGGAGTTTTGACCCAAAGAAGAATGTGTAAGAAAAGGCAGGAGCTAGATGTTTTAGATAATTTTGGGAGGAGTGTCCGTGTGCGCGCGCGTGTGTGTGTTTGTGTGTGTGTGTGTGTGTTTCTGTTTAAGGCTGAAAGAGAAGTGAGCTTGTGCTGTGGGAAATGATGCTGAAGTTAAACAGAATGAATAGTGGAAGTTGGCAAAACAGACTGAGGTCCTATAAGGAGATGACATATTGGGACACAAATTGCCAACCTAATGGATGTCTAAGCCTTACATAGGGAAGAAGGGCTCTCTGTCTCTCTGTGAATTGGAAGATTGGTGAATTCTGGGAGTTGTAAAATCAGTTGAGAATAATTATGGAATAGGGTGTGAGGGAGTGTTGAAAGTCTTTGTTTCTGATTACAACTTTTTTTTCCCTCTAAGTGGCATAGAAGAGAGGTGATATTTTTGAAAAGACCTTGAAAAAAATACAAGAAAGACAACCAAGAAGTCCAAGTTTAAAGTTGGAGGCCACTGACTGGTATTCACCAATTCCAGAGTGTCAAAGCTTTCTTCAGGACTATTCACTTGCACACATGCATAAAAACAGTGGTTAATATGGAATTGAGGTTTGGCTAAGCAGGAACAATAGAAGGACAGAGGGAGGGGGGCAGAGGAGACAATGGGTCCCAGATAAGTAGGGCAGAAAGGGAATCGGGAGAATCCATCTAAGTAGGCAAGTGAGTTTGTGAAAGAACACAAAAATAAGTTTGCCTTTTGAAAACATTGGATTTATAGATTTCTGATGTGGAGCAATTTTGTGCTTTCTGTCCTTGGGAACATACAGCAGAGGCACAACTGCAGATTGAGGAAGTCAAGGGATTTTGAGGTCAGCAAGTAGTTACATATGAATACCAAAGCAGCATTATGAGGATAACTTAAAGGTTGAGGGAGAAAATTGAGCCAGAGCCGAGTCTGTACAGACAGAAAGAAGAAAGGTTAATATATATATTCCTGCATTATCCATGTTCGAGAGGTCAGGCAGCTTCCTTGACAGATGTGGCACTGTAATACCTTTTTTCTTCTTTTTGGTCTTGGGCGTTGGACCTATGGCCTTGTACAAGTTTAGCATGCATTGTGCCATTGCGCTACAACACCAGCCCTGGTTCTATAATATGCTTGGAGAAGAAAACAATTTCAAAATAAAAAGAGGAACAGGAAGCATCCTGTTAGAGATTAAAAAACTAAGGAGATTTGTTAAATATGAGTCCCTTTGCAAGTCGAGAGAAAAGGTTAAGGAATATGGTAAAAATCTTGTGGTAAAAAATAAAAAATCCCCCCAAAACAATTTAACTTTTTAAAGACTACATTTCCTGGACTTGCCCAGAAACCCTTGTTTGCACAGCACCCATTAACCTCTTACAGAAGCAGTGCTCTGTGGACTGAGTTAGGAAACACTGGCTGAACACTTAAGGAGAACTTTCCACAATGGAACTGGTGCCCAGTCACGGTGAACACACCTCTCCAGGTATCTGGAGGACAGTGTTTGGACAAAAATGAGCCAGCTTCCAGGCCACCCATTTGGTTGTGTTTTTATTTATGACCATTTGGCTTTTAACTCAGCTACATTGAGAGCTGTGTGAAATCAAGGACAGTTACAATTTCCTTGCATCTCTATTTATTGCTAAATAAATATTTTGCTCTATTGATACTTGCAGTGAGAAAAAACCAAAAAATACGACATGGGTTTAAATGTCTCTCTTCTATCTTTGTTGAGAATTTATTTTTCTTTTAGGTGTTTAATATAATGTTAAAAACCCAAAAGTGTTGGTGCTTTTGTGAATTTTTAATAATAGCTATTACTTTTGCCTTTCAATAAGTCGTGCACCTATATATTTTCTCTCTCTCTCTCTCTCTCTCTCTCTCTCTCTCTCTCTCTCTCTCTCTTTCTTTTTGTACCAGGGATTGAACTCGGGACCTTGTACTTGGGAGGCAGCCGGTTCAACAACTGAGCTAAATCCCCAGCTACTTTCTCTCTTTAATAATATTGATACAATGATCCCTAAGAGAGCTCAAAAAGACTATTCGAAATTGCTGATTATTGTAGTAGCTTTCCTAATTACTGCAAGTGATTCAAATGAAAAAATAGTAGGAAAGATTTGAAAAATATGTAGCTAATTCATTTAAAGGTGATATTTTTTTCAAAGTAAAAATTTCAAAAATTATTTAAGGTATGAAATACATATGTAGCTAACCAAAAAGTATTACAATTATCAGGAAATTCCCTTTGAGAATTCTATAATTACTTTATATAATACAGTAAATTTAGTATTATGTATGTAAGGTAACATGTATAAATGCATATAGAAATGCAAGAATTTAATATTATAAAATATTGAGTACAATTTTCTATATTTTTAATTACACAAAAAGTAAAGAGATGCATATTTGCTTAAATTTGCAAAAGATAAAAGCAAATTACTATGCCATCCCACTGTGGTACATAAAAGCAAAGTTATAAAATAGCTTTGAATTATAACATTTGATCATTGTATAGTTATGAATTGTACTCGTATTTTTAAGAAATTTTAATGTTATATGTTATACATTTATTACCACTTTCCTATAAGGGCAATTATCATTATTAGCTCACTACAAGAAAAAGTAAACACACACTTAGAAACTTCTAATCTCTGGACTGATTTTTATACTGTCCTCCAACTTTAGTGGGGGTGCAATTATTTACAGCAAAATCCCAAAATATGTTGCTGAGCCCTGCTTCCTTTGATAATGCAGTTTCAGAGTGTAATACAAACCCAGAGTTGTATTGGATGTTGCCAGTCCACTTTTCTCATTACAGAGATGAGGATACAGATGCTGAGAAATATATTGTTATGAAAGGGCACATAGATCTTCCTCTCCTGTGGATAACCCAGTGGCTAAGAGAACCTCAGGCAGCTACACACACCAAGAACCTTACTGCCACTGCTACCTGCAACCTTTCAGTTTCAAATTGGTTTATTTGGGGAACAATGTTTGATAAAACTGAAAATCATGAAAATTGTCCCATGTTTTCTGGACTCAGGACTCAGTTTAGCACACTGTGTTGAACTTTTTTTTTTTCTTCCCTTCCTCTCAGTCTCCCTTGGCAGTTTCAGTGAAAACATTTGCTTTAACTGTTTCTTCATTCAGGTTGAGAAGTAAAGCAGATTGAACCTAAACCAGTCTTGCCAGGTATTTACAAGGAAAGAAGACAAATTTCCCTTAAAGCCTGGAATGTAAAAAATCTACGATAGGATGACTTAGTCAACTTTTGTTTCTACTTTGAAGAAACATGTCTGATTTAAGGATTTTGAAGCTCATAGTCTTATTCCCCATAATGTATAGTTCATATTTCAGTATTTAACACTATTAGATATTTCAATGACTGTTTTTAATTATTTAGGCTTCAAGGAGACAACCTGGCAGAAAGGACAGAAGAGACATTACAAATACTTCATTCTCCAGATGAAATAATTCCAGATTCATTGGGTAAGTTTTAAACCCAACAATATTTATCGTAGTTTTAGCAGTACTTCATGATTTGAAAACAAGAGCAAAATTAAACTAAACATTTTCTCTTGCATCAGATCACTCTAGTTAGAGTCATGGACTCACCACCAACACACTTCTTTGGCTCTATGTTGGGAGGGTAAGGGCAAAGGAGAGAAGGAAGCAGGAAATGTGGATTCTGAGGACTGGCAACTGTATATTGGCTGCTCCTAAAACTCTGTCAGTAATTACAACTTGTTTTTAGAACTTTGCCTGTTCACTCTATAGAAAATCAAACTCGTTATCTGCCCTTTGACATTTGAATAACTTCAACTTCCATTCTCAGATCACTGATAAATTCCATATTCTTAGGGAGAAATATCAGTACTATACTTGAACATATCATATACCTTTTATTTCAGCCTTATGTTGAGTGGGTGTTTAATTACGGTCAATGCCACTTCAGAATTTCCTAAGACAGCCTTTTTTTCATTTTTTTCCTGCTAGTACCTGGCCTATGCTTTTCTCTTCTTTCTCTATCTAGTGTAACAACCTACTTTCTCCCTCTTTGCACTGTCCCAGTCCATGTTTTGTTCACTATCTTTCTTAAGATAAAGCTCTTTAGTATATACCAATTTTCTATATGATAAAATTCAAACTCTGTACTTATGATGGTAATGTCAGAGCACTTCAAAATGTTTGCTGAATAAGTAAACCATCACGTGTAATGCAACTCTAGGGACATCTAAGATGCCTCACTTCTTCATCAGTCAGTGTCCTAGCAGGACAGCCAGTACCTCTAATCAGGACAGCTAGAAACTACAGGAGAATATCTTCCCTAAACCTGGATAGAGAAGGACATCACAAACAAAAATTCCTAACCATAAGGAATATAATGAAACAATATTATACTGTACACTTCAAAAAGCTTGAAAAGGGGGTTTTGAAATTTTTCACCATAAAGAAATAAGCGAGGAGGTAGATATGTTCAATCTGAGGTTAAGAAGACACAATACATACATGTATTGAAATATCTCATGGCAACTTATTAATATATGGAATTCTTATGTTTTATCAGTTAAAATAAATTTAATTTTAAAATTAAGTCTATTTTTATAAAATAAAAATAGAAATTCAACTATAGGTAATTAAGAACTCTCATACATCAAAATAAGTGAGGGAAAAGCCAAAAATGGGAAAATATAAAAAATGAATATTCAAAAAATTATAAACTTACAATTTAATAAAGGTCAATAAATCCATAGAAAAATAAATGACAAGCATAAATAGATATTTAACAGAATAGAAAATAAGAAGATACAATAAGCATATGAACTATGACTTACTCCTCTACTAATGAGAGAAAGGAAGATTCAGACTGTGGTGAGATAATTGTTTGGTAACCAGTTGTGTGGCATTAATTAAGAAAGCTGGCAAAAGCCCATGACAGTGAAGACAAAGATAAAATAAAACTCATACACCACAGATGGGATATAAATAATATCAGAAAAGTTTTCCATTAACTTAAAATCTTGAGCATTTATGAGATATGATTAAAATATATGGTGAATATTATAATTAAAATTATTGTAAAAGACACATTGCTACTATTCTCCCTCAAAGTACTCCCCTTCACTTTAAACATACTTATCCTACTGTTCTTGGTACTTTCTGAAGCAGTTCTAGAAGTACTCTTTTTATAAGTATCTTTTATAGATGTGATTAAAAATACAGTGAATGCTATTTGCAGTGCCATCTAATGGAAATTCAGGCTCATAAAAACATTACAGTGTGTCCTCATTCACCTTATTCATTGAATCTGGCACTGAAGGACTTCTCGCTCTTCTTCAAAGTCAAAATGACCATAAAAGGTAAAAGTTGTGAATCAATTGTGGACATCAGAGAAGCTAGGATAGCGCAACATGAAGGAAAACTTCCCAAACTGCTTCAGCAAGTGGTAAGAACTATAGGATAAGTATATTCAAAGTGAGGGAGAATATTTATGGCGTGATTAATGGCAATGTATCTTTTACTGTAACAAACTTTTTAAAATTTAAACACGGTATTTTTTTATCACATCACATGTATAATGCAAAAAAATATCTTAAAGATACAAGCTTCATGTACCTTGAAATCTAAACAAGCCTTTATTAGTGTGTTCATGGACAACACTGTAGGGAGATAAATACATTTCAACCAAACACATAGGACGGAGAAAATAGAGGCATAGTGGTATATGTTTAACCCTTTTCCTGAATACATGAAACTGATTTAGAGAGACTGATGATTTCCACAGTATCACAGCTGATTTCAAGCAATCAACTTGCAATGGTCTTTCGTTCTCTAAACCCAGTGTGAGCAGGTTGCAGCTCATCACTGAATGAGTAGTAAAAGTATAAAGACTGATTAAACCAAAGCAAGTCATAGAGTGCCATATTTATAAAATTTGAAACAAGCAAATCTTAACAATATATTCTTTGGGAAAACATACTTAGGTGATAAAACTATATTAAAGGAAGGGAGTGAAACACCCCAAGTAATAATGTTGTCCTCAGGGAGTAAGAGGAATCTGGGAAATGGAATAAGAAGGCACTCACATGTATATTAAGGTTTTTGAAAATGCTCTAATTTTAAAATTAGGTGCTGGATTTGATGTGTTTATCATTGTGCTTTTAAATTCATATTTATTATATATTATACTTACATATAATATGTTTATATATACTTTTATATGTGAAATATTACATTTATATCATATTACAATATCAGACAAATGTAATAAACATTAAAAAAAAAACTGTTACAGGGGGCCAGGGATTTAGCTCAGCGGTTCTGCTGCCTGCCTTGCAAGTGCAAGGTCCCAAGTTCAATCCCCTGTACCAAAAAAGCCCCCAAAACAAGAAACTGTTACAGGAATATAAATCAATGCCAGAGTAGTATAATGCAAAGAAATAATAGTGTGTATATATATATATATATACACACACACTCTGGTCTGTCATAGTCCTGTGACATGACACATTCTCACGTGGTGCTCTAACCATGACAATGGAAGTGGAGCAATAGGTTGCCAGCAACATGGAGGTCCCAAGTTGGCTGTCTGTTGATACTCATAGACTTCTGGATTCAGCCTGGTTTCCTTTTGGATTATTTTTCTTTTATGAAAAAATAAAGCAAAATTTCATAACCAAAATAATGAGAATAATAATAGTTAAAACACTGTGTCTTGTTATCTTCAAGTAGTTACTCAGAGTACAAAACATAAACTCACAACTTTCTAACTCTTCTCTGACCAAGTGTAAGTTATTTTTCCTCCCTCTACTTCTTCAGACACTGCTCTAAGGTTGTATTAAGAATTCCTGATGTGGACCCCACAAAAATATTTCCTATTGCCCAGCCCCTAATTGTTTTTGAATTGATTCCTATATATTGATTTTTTTCACTTTAATTGGATTACATGGTTTTTGAGATTTTCTTGTGCTCTCTATCATGACTAATACAAAACTATCACAAGACACTTTAATAGCTTGAAGTAATTGTTTAAATTCTATTTAAACTATGCCAATCCATTTACCTATAGGTCTATATCTTTTAGCAATCACATGTACAGAATTACAGGTAAATATCTTAAGAAATAAACAATATATCGATACTTCATTGTTGGTTAAACTTACTTGCCTCTATTAGAAAAATATTCATAAAATTGAAGCTTTCTTGAAGTACTCATTTCCTACATTCTTCATACTCTAATATTAGGAGAGGTAATTAGCAAATTCTAAAATAGATGTATCTAATTTAGTACAATATTTTCTACTTAAGTCAGTCAAATCACTAGATCCAATAGTTGATCATTATTGGCATATCTAAAAACTGAATTGTGAATCCATTTTGAACTTGCCTCAAAATATATATTTCTATCTATTGGTGTCATTTTGTGCATTGTGATAAATTTTACAGATTTCTAGTGTATTATTAGCTTGCTTAGTCAACCATGAGACTAAGAGATTGCTACCAGAGATTGTTAATTTTTTTAAAATTTATTTTACTCGTACATTTTAGGTATACAATATAATGACATTCATCATTGGAAATTTGCACCTTTACATAATCTCTCTTGGTTCTTATTTTTTCCCCTTCCCCTGCCCTCCCTTCAACCCCTCCATCCCTCTCTATTTACAAAGACTTTGTTTCTATTTTTTCATTTTCTCATATTAATCCCATTTCTTTCTTTCCTTTCCCCTACCCCTCCCACTTCTCCTTTGCCCCTTTTCTTCCTATTTCACATTATCTATTATACCTTTGAGTCCTTATTTACACTTTCAGTTTCTCACACTAGAGAAAGTATAAAGTAATTACACATGTGTGTCCTATTTATTTCACTTAAGAGTATTGCTTCAATATGCATCCATTTAGCTATAAATGTCTCTAGTTTCTCATTTTTTATGGCTGAGTAGTACTCCATTTTATTAATAAAGCACATTTTCTTTATCCAGTCTCCAGTTGATGGGCAACTGGGCTGTTTCCAAGTTTTAGCTTACAAATTGTGCCCCTATGAACATGGGTGCACATATATCACTGTGGTATGATTTTTTTAATTGTTTGGGGAAGATACCCAACAGTGGAATAGCAGGGTCAAATGGAACTTCCAGTCCTAGTTCTTTGAGGTATCTCCATACTGATTTCCACAGTGGTTGCACCAGTCTCCCACCAGCAGTGGAGCAGGGTTTGGAGAGATTGTTAATTTTTGACAAAATTACTTCAGATTTCTTTAGTTTCTTCTCTCAATTGAGGAGATAAGCTCTGTAATATTTGACAAATTTAGCAACCAATTTTCTACCAACCTCTCTGTGATAAAAAACTCAAATAATCCCTTATATTCTGAAAATCATATATACTTGTAAAAATAAATTGCTCTGGATTATGTAAGCAAATGTTTATATATTACCAATTATTATTAATAAGCAATGTACTGAGAACCCTAAAAGAAATAGAATTTATTCTTCTAATCATTAAACATTTTGTTTTCATAATACCTATTGATCCTAGGTAGCTTGTTAAGTTGGTGTATTAGTACTAGATTTGCACTGTATTTAACAGGATCTATTTAACTTAGTAACTGTTGATACGTAAACTTTCAAATATTCTGACAGCACTTCACAATTGTCCATTTCTGTTAATTTCAATGGAAATTACCATGTTATAAATATAACCAATTATAGTACCAACAAAGAATTCAGTGCAAACAAATACAAAACAGAATGTAAACTGTAAAAAATTACAAACACCTTCTGTTTGCAAATGTTAATTTTTATTTAAAAAATACTGTACACATGTTCAGTGAATTCTATAAGAAAAAGTATAGAAAATTTCCCTAAATGTATTTTGAAACCACTTATTAGGGTGCCTGGCATATAGTATTTGTTGAATAAATTAATACACTAAAATTCAAGGAAATGGGTGAATGAGTGGATTAATACACACACACATGAATAATTGAGCAGAATAACAACACTTCTTTAAAACCACTAGCTACAGTATTTTCTGAGAGGAACTTGTGTCTTAGTTACTTTTTCATTGCCAGGACAAAATGCCCGACACCCATACATTAAAGGAGGAAAAGTTTATTTTAGTTCACAGTTTGGAGAGATTTCAGTCTGTAGTTGGCTGGCTCCAAACCAGTACAGCATGGAAGTGGAGATTTTATGGTATAGCAGCAGGAAACAGTGAGCTTCCTTCCTCTGTCCATTTTTATTCCATCCAGACTACAAGGCTATTGGCTGGTGTTGCCCACATCCAGTGTGGGTCTTCTCTCTTCAGTAAGTCCATCGTCCACATCCAGTACTATGCTAAACCTATCAGTGGACTAATCCCATCAGTATCTCACACCTATGACCCAGTCACTGCAAAAAGCCCCACTTATGAGCACATGAGTCTTTGGCGGGGGCACATCTAGATATAAGCCATAACATTCTGCTCCTGGCCTCCAAAAGACTCATTAGCATCCCTTTATGCAAAATGCTTTTAATCCACCTCTAAGAGGTTGCTGAAATCCTAACAGTTTTAGTATAGCTGAAAACACCAAATTGAAATTGTCCTCTGAGATTTAAGGTAAACTCTTAGCTGTGAGCCCCTGTAAAAATGAAAAAGTTCCGTGGTTCCAACATCCAATGGCACAAGAGAAACATTCTCATTCCAAAGTGTACAAATAGGGGAATAGAAAGGAAAGACCAAATCAAGACCAAAATCCAGCAGGGAAAGCCTTAAATTCTGTAGTTTTGTATACAACTCCAGGGACAATCTGTGACAAGATGTGAGAAGTGGCTGGCTGGCCCTGCCCTTAAAATACTGGCAGTGGTGATATTTCTCATGGCTTCTCCCTGAGGCCAGCTCTGCTCCCTCCTTCCAATTTTCCTCAGATGATCCACGTCCCTGGTTTCTCCTACCTTTTGGGGTCTCCACTAGGGATAAAAATTAAGCAAAATTTACCTTCTAATTTAAAGCCTATTGTCACTTTTTCATGGTTCTATAATATCGTTTTATTTTTTTCATTGAGTTTATTGGTACTTTTAGGTACACAACACAGTTACCTTCATCATTGGGATCTTGTACCTTTACATGATGTATCTTGGTTCTTATTTTTTCCCCATTCCCCTGCCCTTCCTTCACCCCTTCTACCCTTCCCTATTTACAAAGACTTTATTTCCATTTCTTCTAGTTCTCATCATTTTTCCTTTCCCTTCTTTCCTTTCCCC